GGCAACAGCCAAGGAAATGAGCTTTCATGGTTTCTGTAGTGTAGTGGTTATCACGTTTGCCTCACACGCAAAAGGTCCCTGGTTCGAAACCGGGCAGAAACAAGCTGCAAATTTAGAATTTTGCTTTAATAACTGACCGGTTGTCATCACTATAGGATCAGATCCTCTATGAACAGCCCGAAAGCGAGACCTTGAACTGACCAGAATTCCTGCTTTTGTAGCAAAGCAGATCAAATTTGCTTACAAAATGAAAGGGAATCTCTGGTTTTCCACAGAACGTGGAAGCCTGTCTCTTTTGTTGCTCAGTAAGACTCTGAACTTGACTGGAAATTTTTCTGTAAAGTGTGGTCACCAAGTTCACCTATCAGCAAGAAGTCTCCGCTCGAAAAAGGCTGGGAGCGGTTTCCCTTCCATTGTGCTTTTGTAGCAAGGCAGATAACAGCTGCTTGCAAAATAACAGGGAGTCTCTGCTTTTCCACTGACTGTGGAAGCCTGACTCTTTCCTTGATCAAGAAGACAAGGGTAAGGATGCGTTTGACTCGAGGTTGCAACCCTGCTTAAGACCAATCAGCATATAGGCATATTTGGTTGTTAAATATAAAACATTGACTATGTAGAAAGCTGATAGCGGAAAATGTACACCTCTCGTGACAGTTTGCATGCCTGCTTGTCGCTAACAGAAGACAGACCCGATTTTCTCCCATTTTTGCCCCTTGTTCACAGGTGAAACGTGGCCTGATGGATAATGATGTGCTTCCAAACAGCAAAGAATCAGTAACAATACAACTGGGAAGCTGAAAGGTTTCTAAGAGGCCTGCATTGAAGCCTATGGCACACTGTATTGCCAACTAATTTTCAGGTAGGTCCTTCCTTCCTTTTGTTCCAAGTACCATAAAGTAGCACTTAAAGCTTCAATTTACACTGTGCATTGGCCGGGAATCAAACCCTGGTCAACTGCTTGGAAGGTAGCTATGCTCACCACTATATCACCAATGCCCACCACTATATAGCCAATGCCATGATGGGAAATCCGATTCTGGTGAGCAAAAGTTTAAGAATGTGCATTTCTCATCAGCAGACCATAGGCAACAGCCAAGGAAATGAGCTTTCATGGTTTCTGTAGTGTGGTAGTATGCTTCTCACGCTTCCAAAAGGTCCCTGGTCCAAACCGGGCAGAAACAAGCTGCAAATTTAGAATTTTGCTTTAATAACTGACCGGTTGTCATCACTATAGGATCAGATCCTCTATGAACAGCCCGAAAGCGAGACCTTGAACTGACCAGAATTCCTGCTTTTGTAGCAAAGCAGATCAAATTTGCTTACAAAATGAAAGGGAATCTCTGGTTTTCCACAGAACGTGGAAGCCTGTCTCTTTTGTTGCTCAGTAAGACTCTGAACTTGACTGGAAATTTTTCTGTAAAGTGTGGTCACCAAGTTCACCTATCAGCAAGAAGTCTCCGCTCGAAAAAGGCTGGGAGCGGTTTCCCTTCCATTGTGCTTTTGTAGCAAGGCAGATAACAGCTGCTTGCAAAATAACAGGGAGTCTCTGCTTTTCCACTGACTGTGGAAGCCTGACTCTTTCCTTGATCAAGAAGACAAGGGTAAGGATGCGTTTGACTCGAGGTTGCAACTTGTAATTCCCCACCTCCAAGCAGGAACATACAACGAAAACGCACCCTCGACTTGAAATTGCCATTCGTCAACAATGGGAAGTCTTCTCATCTACCAGTGCCTTCCCTGTTCATCGAGTGACGTCAACATGACCGGTTCAGAACTCACAAAGTGGCACTTACCTTAGTGCTGATTTGCTTTGGATCAGGGTTGTCCAGTCTTATCCAGAATGAGCCCGTGTGGCTGAAGGTTTTCATTAACCAACGCAGAAGCCACACTTTAGTCTATTGAAAGCCAAGATCAGCAGATCCAACAATTGGAATCAGGTGTGGCCCTGCCTAGATTGGAACGAAAACCTGAAGATTGGACAACCCTGCTTAAGACGAATCAGCATATAGGCATATTTGGTTGTTAAATATAAAACATTGACTATTTAGAAAGCTGATAGCGGAAAATGTACACCTCCGTGTCAGTTTGCATGCTAGCTTGTCGCTAACAGAAGACAGACCCGATTTTCTCCCAATTTTTGCCCATTGTTCACAGGTGAAACGTGGCCTGATGGATAATGATGTGCTTCCAAACAGCAAAGAATCAGTAACAATACAACTGGGAAGCTGAAAGGTTTCTAAGAGGCCTGCATTGATGCCTATGGCACACTGTATTGCCAACAAATTTTCAGGTAGGTCCTTCCTTCCTTTTGTTCCAAGTACCATAAAGTAGATCAGATCCTCTATGAACAGCCCGAAAGTGAGACCTTGAACTGACCAGAATTCCTGCTTTTGTAGCAAAGCAGATCAAATTTGCTTACAAAATGAAATGGGAATCTCTGGTTTCCCACAGAACGTGGAAGCCTGTCTCTTTTGTTGCTCAGTAAGACTCTGGACTTGACTGGAAATTTTTCTGTAAAGTACTGGTCACCACGTTCACCTATCAGCAAGAGGTATCCGATCGAAAAAGGCTGGGAGCGGTTTCCCTTCCATTGTGCTTTTGTCTCTTTCCTTGATCAAGAAGACAAGGGTAAGGATGCGTTTGACTCGAGGTTGCAACTTGTAATTCCCCACCTCCAAGCAGGAACATACAACGAAAACGCACCCTCGACTTGAAATTGCCATTCGTCAACAATGGGAAGTCTTCTCATCTACCAGTGCCTTCCCTGTTCATCGAGTGACGTCAACATGACCGGTTCAGAACTCAGAAAGTGGCACTTACCTTAGTGCTGATTTGCTTTAGATCACGGGTTTCCAGTATTATCCAGAATGAGCCAGTGTGGCTGAAGGTTTTCATACTAACCAAGCAGAAGCCACACTTTAGTCTATTGAAAGTAAAGATCAGCAGATCCAACAATTGGAATCAGGTGTGGCTCCTGCTAGATTGGAACAAAAACCTGAAGATTGGACAACCCTGCTTAAGACCAATCAGCATATAGGCATATTTGGTTGTTAAATATAAAACATTGACTATGTAGAAAGCTGATAGCGGAAAATGTACACCTCTCGTCACAGTTTGCATGCCTGCTTGTCGCTAACAGAAGACAGACCCGATTTTCTCCCATTTTTGCCCCTTGTTCACAGGTGAAACGTGCCCTGATGGATAATGATGTGCTTCCAAACAGCAAAGAATCAGTAACAATACAACTGGGAAGCTGAAAGGTTTCTAAGAGGCCTGCATTGAAGCCTATGGCACACTGTATTGCCAACTAATTTTCAGGTAGGTCCTTCCTTCCTTTTGTTCCAAGTACCATAAAGTAGCACTTAAAGCTTCAATTTACACTGTGCATTGACCGGGAATCAAACCCTGGTCAACTGCTTGGAAGGTAGCTATGCTCACCACTATATCACCAATGCCCACCACTATATAGCCAATGCCTTGATGGGAAATCCGATTCTGGTGAGCAAAAGTTTAAGAATGTACATTTCTCATCAGCAGACCATAGGCAACAGCCAAAGAAATGAGCTTTCGTGGTTTCTGTAGTGTAGTGGTTATCACGTTTGCCTCACACGCAAAAGGTCCCTGGTTCGAAACCGGGCAGAAACAAGCTGCAAATTTAGAATTTTGCTTTAATAACTGACCGGTTGTCATCACTATAGGATCAGATCCTCTATGAACAGCCCGAAAGCGAGACCTTGAACTGACCAGAATTCCTGCTTTTGTAGCAAAGCAGATAAAATTTGCTTACAAAATGAAAGGGAATCTCTGGTTTTCCACAGAACGTGGAAGCCTGTCTCTTTTGTTGCTCAGTAAGACTCTGAACTTGACTGGAAATTTTTCTGTAAAGTGTGGTCACCAAGTTCACCTATCAGCAAGAAGTCTCCGCTCGAAAAAGGCTGGGAGCGGTTTCCCTTCCATTGTGCTTTTGTAGCAAGGCAGATAACAGCTGCTTGCAAAATAACAGGGAGTCTCTGCTTTTCCACTGACTGTGGAAGCCTGACTCTTACCTTGATCAAGAAGACAAGGGTAAGGATGCGTTTGACTCGAGGTTGCAACTTGTAATTCCCCACCTCCAAGCAGGAACATACAACGAAAACGCACCCTCGACTTGAAATTGCCATTCGTCAACAATGGGAAGTCTTCTCATCTACCAGTGCCTTCCCTGTTCATCGAGTGACGTCAACATGACCGGTTCAGAACTCAGAAAGTGGCACTTACCTTAGTGCTGATTTGCTTTAGATCACGGGTTTCCAGTATTATCCAGAATGAGCCAGTGTGGCTGAAGGTTTTCATACTAACCAAGCAGAAGCCACACTTTAGTCTGTTGAAAGTAAAGATCAGCAGATCCAACAATTGGAATCAGGTGTGGCTCCTGCTAGATTGGAACAAAAACCTGAAGATTGGACAACCCTGCTTAAGACCAATCAGCATATAGGCATATTTGGTTGTTAAATATAAAACATTGACTATGTAGAAAGCTGATAGCGGAAAATGTACACCTCTCGTCACAGTTTGCATGCCTGCTTGTCGCTAACAGAAGACAGACCCGATTTTCTCCCATTTTTTCCCTTTGTTCACAGGTGAAACGTGGCCTGATGGATAATGATGTGCTTCCAAACAGCAAAGAATCAGTAACAATACAACTGGGAAGCTGAAAGGTTTCTAAGAAGCCTATGGCACACTGTATTGCCAACTAATTTTCAGGTAGGTCCTTCCTTCCTTTTGTTCCAACTACCATAAAGTAGCACTTAAAGCTTCAATTTACACTGTGCATTGGCCGGGAATCAAACCCTGGTCAACTGCTTGGAAGGTAGCTATGCTCACCACTATATCACCAATGCCCACCACTATATAGCCAATGCCATGATGGGAAATCCCATTCTGGTGAATCCCAAAAGTTTAAGAATGTGCATTTCTCATCAGCAGACCATAGGCAACAGCCAAAGAAATGAGCTTTCGTGGTTTCTGTAGTGTAGTGGTTATCACGTTTGCCTAACATGCAAAAGGTCCCTGGTTCAAGACCGGGCAGAAACAAGCTGCAAATTTAGAATTTTGCTTTAATAACTGACCGGTTGTCATCACTATAGGATCAGATCCTCTATGAACAGCCCGAAAGCGAGACCTTGAACTGACCAGAATTCCTGCTTTTGTAGCAAAGCAGATAAAATTTGCTTACAAAATGAAATGGGAATCTCTGGTTTTCCACAGAACGTGGAAGCCTGTCTCTTTTGTTGCTCAGTAAGACTCTGGACTTGACTGGAAATTTTTCTGTAAAGTACTGGTCACCAAGTTCACCTATCAGCAAGAGGTATCCGATCGAAAAAGGCTGGGAGCGGTTTCCCTTCCATTGTGCTTTTGTCTCTTTCCTTGATCAAGAAGACAAGGGTAAGGATGCGTTTGACTCGAGGTTGCAACTTGTAATTCCCCACCTCCAAGCAGGAACATACAACGAAAACGCACCCTCGACTTGAAATTGCCATTCGTCAACAATGGGAAGTCTTCTCATCTCCCAGTGCGGCTCCTGCTAAATTGGAACAAAAACCTGAAGATTGGACAACCCTGCTTAAGACCAATCAGCATATAGGCATATTTGGTTGTTAAGTATAAAACATTTACTATGTAGAAAGCTGATAGCGGAAAATGTACACCTCTCGTCACAGTTTGCATGCCTGCTTGTCGCTAACAGAAGACAGACCTGATTTTCTCCCATTTTTTCCCTTTGTTCACAGGTGAAACGTGGCCTGATGGATAATGATGTGCTTCCAAACAGCAAAGAATCAGTAACAATACAACTGGGAAGCTGAAAGGTTTCTAAGAGGCCTGCATTGAAGCCTATGGCACACTGTATTGCCAACTAATTTTCAGGTAGGTCCTTCCTTCCTTTTGTTCCAAGTACCATAAAGTAGCACTTAAAGCTTCAATTTACACTGTGCATTGGCCGGGAATCGAACCCGGTCAACTGCTTGGAAGGCAGCTATGCTCACCACTATACCACCAATGCCCACCACTATCTCACCAATGCCATGATGGGAAATCCCATTCTGGTGAATCCCAAAAGTTTAAGAATGTGCATTTCTCATCAGCAGACCATAGGCAACAGCCAAAGAAATGAGCTTTCGTGGTTTCTGTAGTGTAGTGGTTATCACGTTTGCCTAACACGCAAAAGGTCCCTGGTTCGAGACCGGGCAGAAACAAGCTGCAAATTTAGAATTTTGCTTTAATAACTGACCGGTTGTCATCACTATAGGATCAGATCCTCTATGAACAGCCCGAAAGCGAGACCTTGAATTCAATTCAATTCAATTCAATTTTATTTGTATAGCGCTTTTTACAATAGTCATTGTCTCAAAGCAGCTTTACAGAAATAAAAAACAGGTATGAACAGTCAGAAACATCTAAAGAGAGACAAACAGGAACAGATAAACAGAGACAAACAGGTAGAAAACAAATGGAATTTATCCCAACTGAGCAAGCCACTGAGTGGCGACGGTGGCAAGGAAAAACTCCCTAAGATGTTTTTTGAGGAAGAAACCTTGAGAGGAACCCGACTCAGAAGGGAAACCCATCCTCATCTGGGTAACACAGATTGTGAATGTAACACAGATAATGTGAAAATGAGAAGTATGTATGGCCTTAGGAGCAGCCTAGTCCCAGCAGAAGATTTGGGCTCATCCAGAGGCAGAAGGGATCTGGATCTCCAATATCTCCATAAATTCGTGTGGGGCTCGGCAAAAAGAGAGAGAGGGAGAAAAACGATTAGGATTGTGAGGTAGTGCGATATAATCTAGTCAGGGTAAGCTTGAGTAAACAAATATGTTTTAAGCCTAGATTTAAACACTGAGACTGTGTCTGAGTCCCGAACACTAATAGGAAGACTGTTCCATAACTGTGGGGCTCTATAAGCGAAGGCTCTTCCCCCTGCTGTAGACTTCACTATTCTAGGTAATATCAAATAGCCTGCATCTTTTGATCTGAGTAGGCGTGGCGGATCATATAAAACCAGAAGGTCGCTTAGATATTGTGGTGCGAGACCGTGTAGTGCTTTATAGGTTAATAAAAGTATTTTAAACTTAATGCGAAATTTTACCGGGAGCCAATGCAGTGTGGATAAGATCGGGGTGATATGGTCGTATCTTCTAGTTCTAGTAAGGACTCTAGCAGCTGCATTCTGGACTAACTGGAGTTTATTTATAATCCTACTGGAACATCCAGACAGTAAGGCATTACAGTAATCTAATCTAGAGGTGACGAATGCATGAACCAGTATTTCTGCATCATGTAGTGACAATATGTTTCTTATCTTAGAAATATTTCTGAGATGAAAGAACGCTATCCTAGTAATATTATCTACATGAGCATCAAATGATAGACTGGAGTCAATAATCACTCCGAGGTCTTTAACTGCTGTACACGATGAAACAGAAAGACCATCCAGAGTTACTGTGTAGTCAGGAAGATTACTTCTAGCTACACGTGGGCCTAATAAAAGTATTTCTGTTTTATCAGAATTAAGTAAAAGGAAGTTAGTTAACATCCATCGTCTAATGTCCTTTACACAATCCTCAACTTTACTAAGCTTCTGTCTGTCCTCTGGCTTCGCTGAAACATACAGCTGTGTATCATCAGCATAACAGTGGAAGCTAATTCCATGTTTACTTAATTTGTCCTAGGGGTAACATATATAAGGTAAAAAGCAGTGGGCCTAAAACAGAACCCTGGGGAACTCCAAAAGTAACCTCAGTGCGCATGGAGAAATCACCATTTATATCTACGAATTGATAACGATCGGTCAGATAAGACCTGAGCCAGGAGAGGACTGTTCCCTTAATGCCAACAACATTTTCTAATCTATCAAGGAGAATAGTGTGATCTATGGTATCGAAAGCTGCACTAAGGTCTAGTAACACAAGCAGCGAGACACAACCCTGATCAGAGGTCAGAAGAAGGTCATTTACTACTTTAACTAGTGCTGTCTCTGTGCTGTGATGAGGTCTAAATCCTGACTGATATATTTCATGAATGTTGTTCCTTTCTAAGTATGAGCATAACTGTTTTGCTACTACCTTTTCTAGAATCTTTGAGATGAAGGGGAGATTCGATATTGGTCTATAATTGGATAATTGAGACGGGTCAAGGCCGGTTTTTTTATCAATGGTTTAATAACTGCTAATTTTAGAGATTTAGGGACATAGCCAGTGGTTAGGGAGGAATTTACTATATTTAAAAGTGACTTAATTACTCCTGGACAAATCTGTTTAAACAAACATGTGGGTATAGGATCTAGTATGCAGGTTGATGAATTAGCTGATGAGATTAGTGTAGCTAGGTCGGTCTCTATAAGCGGAGCAAAACACTCTAAACATTGATCCGGTATTGCCACATTGTCATCTAATGGGTTTGTTATATTACTGACCGGTTGTAATTTAATGGCCTGTATTTCATCTCTAATATTTTCAATTTTATAAATGAAAAATTTCATAAAATCGTCACTGCTATGAAATGATTGAGTTTTTTCCTCTGAAGTGGTTTTATTCCTAGTTAGTTGTGCTACCGTGTTGAAGAGGAATCTGGAATTGTTTTGGTTGTCTCCTATTAAGGTGGAGAAGTAGATCTTTTTAGCATCGACAAGAGATTTCCTATATTGCAGTAGGCTCTCCTTCCATGCTGTCTGAAATATAACCAGCTTGGTTTGGCGCCATTTACGTTCTAATTGTCTAGATTTCTGTTTTAAGGATCGCGTTAGATCATTATACCAGGGTGCTAATTTTTTGTCTAATTATTTTCCTTTTGAGTGGAGCCACTCTATCTAGTGTGCAACGGTGTGTTGACTCCAAACTTTCAGTTGCCTGGTCGAGATCTACTGGATCAGGCGCTGATCCAAAACCAACTGATGTCTCTGGTAGGTTATTTATGAAGCTCAGTGCAGTAGCTGATGTGAATGTGCGTTTACGCTGCAGTAGCGGCAGGCGAGGTGGAGATATTATAATCCATACGGATTATGAATGAGATAAGATGGTGGTCTGAGATAACTTCAGACTGTGGAATAATTTCAATATTTTCTATACTGAGTCCGTATGTTAGTATGAGGTCAAGAGTGTGACCACCACTATGAGTAGGCCCGATAACGTTCTGATTAATCCCTACTGAATCTAAGATGGACACGACCGCTGTTCTCAGAGGGTCCTCCAGGTTATCAAAATGAACATTAAATACTCCGACGATTAATGCTTTATTTACAGACACAACCAGGTTTGATACAAAGTCTGCAAATTCACTAAGAAATTCAGTATAAGGCCCTGGGGGTCTGTAAATAATAATTAGAGGAATTGACTTATTTTTTTGGCTATGGGATTTACACTGGTATAAAGAATTTCAAAGGAATTAAACTTATCAATATATTTTTGTGTGACGACTAGATTTTCACTATGGATAAGACCAATACCTCCACCTCTACCAGTTGAACGAGGCGATGTACATAACTGTATCCAGGAGGACTGGCTTCATTTAATGCTATGTACTCATTTGGTTTAACCCAAGTTTCCGTTAAACACATTAAATTACATTCCTGGTCAGTAATGATGTCGTTGACAATAAGAGCCTTAGACATAAGAGATCTAACGTTTAATAGTCCTAGCTTCAGATCAAAAATGCTGGCTGTGCATTCAATATGATTTAATTTTATGTTAATTAGGTTACGGTTTAGATTTCCTATTTATGTGTATAGCTCGGGGACACACACAGTCTCAATAGTATTTATTACTGGTGATTGACTATTAAATGAACATTGATTAAACTGACTGTTATTGTCAGAAGATGTACTTACGGTAGAGAGTCACTTGGAGTGAAGCGCCTTGAGATGTTTCTCGGACAGCAGTTCCGCTCCAACGCTGCGGGGGTGCAGGCCATCAGGACGAAACAGCCTAGGGCGTCCCCAAAAAACAGATTCCAGTTATTAACAAACACTAGATTCTGCTCATTACACCAAGAAACTAACCATTCATTTAAAGCGAGAAGTCTACTGAACTTTTCTGCTC